AACAGAGCTTCTCCATGATTTTAATCCTGTTCAAATCAGCCATGTCTGTAATTTTTCCAAGAATAGACTGCACAGCATTTCCACGCTGTTATAAAATAAATAGCCTGGGAAAATTCCCACAGGAATGTACTGGTTTAGAAAAGCATACTGAGTGAATCATCTCTCAGTGGCCCATGTCCAGTATTTTAATAAACCAAGACATGTGCGCATATTTAATATTTCCTGCATAATTAAGAAGCACAGTTTGCAATAGGTCAGTTATGTTTGATAGGCACACCTAATGACAATTTCTACAGACACTGGTTACTTATCCCATATGAAAATCTCATCCGAATACGGTTTTAGTTGCATATTTACACCCAAAAGCAGGTTTATTATGAAAAAAAAAATCATTTTAATGCTTGGCTGTATCTAGCTAACAAAAATATGTTCTAAGCACATTTTACTAACGTTTCCATTAGGTTATAAAAAATATATTCTCTGAATGTTCAAAACATCATGTTTTTAAAATGCTTAAAAAAAACTATGTTTTTCCATTTACATTCCATTCTACATTACTTTTGAATGTTCTTGGAACATTTTGAAACAAGTAGTAACATTTAAAAAATATTAGATGAACATCAAACTAAACCATTTCAGGAAAAAACATTCCATGAACGATGTATAAATAATGTTTTTGTGCTAACGTTTTAGGAACATTATTAAAGACCAGAGAACTTTTAACAAACATTCTATTAATGTTACTGCAAGAACGTTTGTTCATAAGTTTGAGAGAACCTTGCTGAAACATGTTAAGATCAACATAGTGGTGCCCAAATGAACCAAAACCTGCTGATTTTGACTAATTAATCCTTAGATCGTCCCCTGAACACAGGCTCGGTATTCATGTCCATGCACTACGCAAACCCATAAATCAATTAATTCCTATCAGGCCATCCGCTTCATTTAACCGCTGCGTTACGGCACCAAACAAAAGTGAAGAAAACCATTTTCCATAATTAGCAGTAAGCTGCTTAGCAGAGTAAAACTGAAGGCTTTTAAATTCCATCTGCCACATTCAATGTGCCTCCACAACACAGGGTCAATTTTGAGATCAATTTGCATATGCATGTACCCCATTGTTTGCATTTCAATATGATTTGATGATGCATTATATTTGCTGGTGTTTCAGATTCACTTTGACAGTTGGTGAATGGCAAGAGCTAATAAATAATGAATCAATTCAGCCATGCTGAGAGTGTGGCATCACTCCAAAGTTTTAAAGGAGAAAGATAAAACAATTTAGAGCTCAGGATATGGAGAGAACTAAAGTATATTTTCTCCAAACTGTCAGAAGTAATTTATCAGCAAAACCCATTTAAGGACTGGCAGTGTTGAGGCCTAAACTGTTGATTTAGTCTAAATACAGTATAGCTGTTTTGTTCTCAGTGCAGACAGCTGAAGATGGTATATTAGTTTGTCAGTAAAGTCAATTAAGTAATTAGCATATTAGACTTTTTTTATAATGATATAAACAAGCTAATTTTTAATGTTTACTTTTCATCCATGGATGGCGATTTAGAGCCTTGACTTTTGCATTGTAAAATCATCCATTTTTTTTAACGCACAGTATAAGTCGTTGAAGCTTGACGTAGCTGAAGTACTTTTCCAGGTTTTGCTAGTTAGCATGGTCAAGTTAGTCCATGCTGGTAGATACTTGTAAATACACTGGCAGTAAAGAATATTCAAAAACGAGCCATATTAATAATAATAATTATTATTATTATAAACAATTGGCAAGTAATATACAAATTGCAAATATTTCATTATATGATGTAATATTCATTGTATTTCATTATGATTTTACATTACCAGTGGGGTTTTTATTTATTTATTTATTATTTTTATATAAACATTTTGATCTCAGTATTTGTAGATATTTGTATGTAATTTTTACACATACATTTTTGTACATTCAGATATACGCTGAAATGTAAAGGTAAACTGAAAAAAACAAATTGGTGTAGAAAGAGTTTTCACTCAGAAATTGCAAGTAAATGTAAAAAATAATTAACAAGAAACAGCAAGCAACATCAAATCAAATGCGAATTTTTGAAGTACAAATATTAAAATACTATCTTCATGTAAAAATACTCCAATAATCTTTTACAACATAAAAAATAATTTTACAGTGTATTTACATATCTTTAAATACAAAAATCTGTTTAAAACAAAAAAATGTTTGTTACTTTAAAAGTCATTGTGAAAACGTGCCTGTGCCAGAACTTAAAGGGGTCATCGGATGCCCATTTTCCACAAGTTGATGAGCTCTGCTGACCCCGCCTCTCTCTTCCGAGCTGCCATCACACAGACAGGCATCTGAGATCGGCTTGATTTGAGAAACGGTAAAGATTTTAGTAGATTAACAAAAAAACACTGGGTGGATTTTTATCATTATAGGGTGGTTGTGTACACACACTGCCAACACACATTTCAGTTCAAACAACTTGTAAAAGTGCATGTAGCATTATATGACCCCTTTAACTTATGAATAGCCTACCTATGATTGCTGACAAGAACACGCTGCTATAAAACACTCACAAAAAAGCCTTTTGTTGTATTTTACATTTCACTTTCTTATCTTTACTGAGTGAACATAATCATTGTGACACGCCGCCTCGCTCTTCCTTCCGGTCGGTCGAGGGTCGTCCTGGGCTTATGAGCACAGGAAATGGGAATCTAAATTAATTCACATTCGCTCTAAGCCGAATCTTCAAAGCTGAAATGAGTTCCCATTCACGGTGAATCTATCAATATGTAAATCAGCAGATGAGAACGGCCAGCAGAAAACGCGCGCTGCGCTGATCACTCCAAAAGAGCTCCAGATAGGACACTGATGCTCCGAGACAGAGGTGTCTTTAGTATCGTCTTCCGGGTTTCAGTACTTCATTTATGCAGTACGGTATGAGAAAGACTGTTTCATATATCACACTCAATCAGGGAGAGCGAAACGCTTTATGCACACAAGCGTAACGGCGCGCCATATGAGCATAACACGCTGAATATTTCATGTAGAATTTTCCGTACTGTGTTCCAAATACTCCCGGAGTGGTTTCTTCACTTTGCTGGCTGTGAAAGGATTTACTAGATGCAATTCCCATTACCGTAAAACAAACAAATAAAAAGGCAATAAAGAAGGCTGTACTTTGATACTCAGAGCACAGCTCTGTCATTGCATTAAATAACAGTAGCTGTTGTCTAACGGGTACTGTGTATAATCACTGTTGAATGAGAGGACCTACCATGTTATTTACGCAGAGTGGATCAATGACATCGACTCTATTATACAATTAAGAACTACCCTCAAGGCTAGACTCCTATAAGCGAAGCTGAAGTTTAAGAAGAGGGTCACAACAAAAAACAGTATATTATTAATAATCCATATTTCTTAATCTTTTTTCAATGTCAGGTGCATGTTTAGGCAATCTCACCCATGCAAAAGTGCTGTACTGAGTAATAGCACTGTGCACGGCTGTGATTTAGCCATAGGTACAAATTTAAGTGTGATATTGCTTTAACACAGTTCTACAAATAAAGTTACATTTTTTGCAAAAAAAAGGTATTTTATTAAAAAAAGAAATTGCCTAAAGCACCTTTAAAGATATAATGAATTTAGATATATGCTAATGTATGCAAATGATACTCTTATGGTTGCTACATTCAAAAGTGCACATTTATTGTTGAAGTAGTTAAACTAGACTGCAATCAAAGTGTCCAGGTTTTGCTTAGATGCCATAACTACACCAGAAGTAAAGAGCATTTAAAAATTGGTCATATATTCTAAAATAAAAATAATATATTAAAACATAAAACGTTTAAACATCCAAGATGTAGATGAGTTTGTTTCTTCATCAGAACAGATTTGAAGAAATGTAGCATTATATCACTTGCTCACCAATGGATCCTCTGCAGTGAATGGGTGCCGTCAGAATGGGAGTCCAAACAGCTGATAAAAACATCACAATAATCCACAAATAATCCACACCATTCCAGTCCATCAGTTAACATCCTGTGAAGTGAAAAGCTGCAGGTTTGTACAAAAAAAATCCATCATCAAGCACCGATTACTAGCAAAAACAGTCCAAATCAGCTCTAAACAAATACGTAGGCGGAATTTAATGTAAAGAACAACAAGGGATGAACTTTTTCACGGGAAGATACAAAATTATGGACTATAGTCTCTTGTTTCTAACAAACATTATGGATTATCGTGATGTTTTTATCAGCTGTTTGGACTCTCATTCTGACGGCACCTATTCACTGCAGAGGATCCATTGGTGAGCAAGTGATGTAATGCTACATTTCTGCAAATCTGTTCCCATGAAGAAACAAACTCATATACAGCATCTTGGATGACCTGTGGGTGAGTACATTTTCAGCAAACATTATGTTGTGGGAGAAATATTCCTTTAAAACCGATAAATATAATAATTTCCCCTGTGTGCTGCCTTTGATTAAACCTAATTGATGGCCTTTTAGTTTAATAAACAAATTATTATGGTTGAAATAACATTTGAGCTCTTTCAGCACTGTCTGGACACACAGTGCATCGAATAACTGATGAACACTAATGAATGAAATATTGGATGGATGTGACACTAGACATTCGGATTAATTCCAAACAGTCTGTCCTTTAGTTCATACTGTAAAATTAACTGTGAATAAAACTGTTCTATGCATTACATTTGGGACTAATTAATGTGAATCACTCCATACATAATTCAGTATTTTTAGAGTATATGGCAACATTTTCCTCGGGGATTAAAAGTCAAAGGTCACGACTTCAATGGCTATTAAGAGTCAAAGGTAATGATAATTACACTCACCAATCTGTATTCAGCCACAGAATAATTATGATGTTCAGTCACTGCAGCAATTGCCTAATGAATACTTTGAATCGTTCACACATGGCTAGAGATGTAATTTCTATTTTCAAAAATACTGAAAATTGCAGTCTGAAGGGTGTGATATGTGTATTTCTCTATTCATTTTCCCCCTGATTTATTATTGAAAGTGTGGACAGAGATGTAAGATGTCATAATATAGATCGCAAAGGGTGAAAAACAAACCTTCCAGCTAAAATAATGAGACATTTTGGGACTAAATCCTTTATTATTTCTTTCTTCCTTTTTTATTATTTACCTGAAAAGACAGATCACGTCTACAGTAAATTGTGAAGTTATTATCCAATCCATATGTTTTCATGGTATTGGCTCAACAGAAGCCACAGTGTTATTTTGCCCAATAATATTTCCCACAATGCACTGCACCAATGTATTATTGAGGCTGCATCTGCCATGTGCTACTTTTATCCACAGTGACCCTTCAGAGTTTGAGAGGCACTTAAATTCATAAAATCTTCAAGTGTTGAATGAAACCGAGAGACTTTTGCTTGTTTACTTGAACTTATTCCGATATGAATTTTGTTGGATGTTTATGAGGGGAATGTCTTTGTATCCACGCTACAAAGGTAGATCACCTCTAATCTTTCTCATCACATATTTATATTGAATTTGATCTGAATGTGATCCTTATGGACTTCACATCCATGTTGATGGCAGAGTCACTGAGGGCTTTGAGTGTGGTGTCATTTTCTTTCAAATCTACTGAAAAGAAAACTCCTTATTGATCAGAACACAACCACACTGAGGATTAATGATAGGGAATAAGTGAAATATAGATTAAATGATAACTGTAGGAACGTGAACCTGAATTCTAAAATAACACTCTCAGAAAGAGGACAAGAAAGAAAGAAATGTGAAGCTGAATTGACTCTCTTGAGGTTTAGAGCATTGATTAAATGATATGCCGGTTTGATTATGACAGAATGGGATTACATGTGAAAAACCAGGAAAAGGAAATTCTGGTTGCTCACACTGCAAATGTCCGGAATCATTGCCACATCCAGACTGATTACTCACAAGCTCACAAGAAAAGCCAGAATGATTGAATTTCCATAGCTGCATTGATGAGCTATTCAAGCACTGAACAACAAGAGGATGAAAACCAGTGGATAACATTCATGAAATCTGAGAACCAGCAATGATTTTCCTTATTTCTTACTTTCTCTTAAATAATAACCCTGGACCACAAAACCAGTCATAAGGCTCAATTTTTCAAAACTGAGATTTATACATCATATGAAAGCTGAATAAATAGGCTTTCCATTGATGTATGGTTTGTTAGGATAGGACAATATTAGGCCGAGATACAACTATTTAAAAATCTGGAAACTGAGGGTGCAAAAAATTCTAAATACTGAAAAAATTTCAAGTTGTCCAAATCAAGTTCTTAGCAATGCATATTGCTAATCAAAAATAAAGTTTTTATATATTTATGGTAAGAAATGTGCAAAATATCTTCATGGAACATGATCTTTACTTAATATCCTAATGATTTTTGGCATAAAAAAAAAATCGATAATTTTGCCACACACTGTTTTTTTGGCTATTGCTACAAATATACCCAAGCGACTTAAAGGGTTAGTTCACCCAAAAATGAAAATTAGCTTGTGTTTTACTCACCCCCGAGGCATCCTAGGTGTATATGACTTTCTTCTTTCAGACGAATCCAGTCAGGAGTTATATTAAAAATTGTCCTGGCTATTCCAAGCGCTATCATTGCAGTCAGCGGGTGTTGCAGTTGAACAGTCCACAAGTCATCAAATAAAGCTCGCGCAATCATAATAAAATGTGCCGCAGACGGCTCTGGGGGGTGAATAAAGGCCTTCTGTAGTGAATCCATGTGTTTTTGTAAGAAAAATATCCATATTTCAAACGTAATAAACACTTTTCTCTCACTTCCGCTATCTGTCATGCACTGAAGCAGTTCCGGCGGATGACGCAGCAAGTATGCGTTGCATGATAAGTGACGAATGCGGAGAGAGAACAAAACAAAACGGCGGTCACGAATTAGAAGTACAAACCGAGGATTTGCAAAGAAAAATGTCGGAGGATTTCGATATAAACCAAGAAGAGAATGGTTTTCCTTTGCTAAAGTAAGGAAACTTTGCTTCCTTTGAAGCTAATTTTCATTTTTGGGTGAACTAACCCTTTAAGACTGGTTTTGTGGTCCAGGGTCACATATATTTACTACTGTTCAAAAGATTGGGATTTTTATTCAGCAAGGATGTATTTAACTGATCAAGAGTACTCTCTGAATATCATCGGTTACGTTAACAACCAGATGCATGCGCCATCTAGAGTTTCATGACTGAACTATATATTTATAATGTTTCAAAAAATTCTGTTTCTAATAAATGCTGCTCTTTTGAACTTTCTATTCATCAAAGAATCCTAAAAAATGCATCATGGATTAAAAAAAAATTGACATTGATAATAAGAAATTTATAATAATAATAATAATAAATATGCAAATCAGCATATTAGAATGATTTCTGAAGGATCATGTGACACTGAAGACTGGAGTAATGATGCTGAAAATTCAGCTTTGCATCACAGGAATAAATACATTTTAAAATATATTAAAAGAGTATTATTGTGAAATATTATTACAAATTGCAATAATATTTCACAATAATACTGTGTTTACAGCAGAAGACTTCAAAAGCATTTAAAAAAATCTTACCAACCCCAAAATTTTAAATGGTAGTGTGTATATATGAAATAATATTCATAAAAAATCCCATGTATAAGTACAGTTCTACATACGGAGCGATTTTATATTGCAGACCGTCATTTCATAAAAAAAGTTAGCAGTAAAAAACGGCAGCAAATTCACAAAGTATTTTGTAGCTTTACTGCATTTGCATGTGATTGACCAACAGATGTCCTTAGCGTACAGTGTTTCCATCGATTCAAAACAGTGAATTATTTCGCAAAGCAATTGATTCAAAGATTTGGCTGAATTCCAAATAGCATTCGCACACTTAAAATATTATTTGATATGCAGTAAAAATAGAAACCATTCCTTCTTGATATTGACCAGATGCACAAAACTATTCTTCAATAAACTGCATCAAAAATCTATTATTATTATCCAATACTCAACATAACACAAGCTCCACTCATCACCACAATGGTAACTCCCAAAAAGATAAAAACTCTCTAAATTCCAACATAACAGAGAACATTTGCAACACTAAAAGTCTCCCTCTTTTCTCATCCTACTCAAAACACATAAAATAACACTTAATTTCAACATTGATTACGGCATTACACCAATTCTGGGAACTAGAAATCCCCTGCCTGAATGAACAATCATGATTCCTGTTTGAATCTCCACGCAAACAAATGAAATAAACTTTATCGTTGTAAATTACTCCCTGACAAAAACGAAAGAACTGTGCTCATTAGTTCATTTTAAGTAACTTGAGCAGGTAGCAGAAATCTATTTTTGAGTAAACGGTGGCAGAAAATCAAGCGTAGCGTTAGTTCTGGCAGGTCACGTTAGTCAAGCTCGCATCAGCTGACCTTCAGCTGATCCCCATCTACCTATGGGAATATGACACCTATCTAAGCATTCATATATAAGGTCCCTCAGTATTATCAGCAGTTTTCGCATTGCTCAATAGCTAATTACCCTCCTCCATCCCCAACTCCTCCTCTGTCAGTCGGGATTCAGCCTTCTGATTCTCCTTGAATCAGACTAATTCTAAAATGTGTACATAAAATGATTGAACTTTAACAATATCTGCAATACATTTATGTTAGTTCTGTTCTGTTTACCCTGGGGGGGTTATTGCAGCTCTCCATGCGCTCATCCATGCTAGGCTGCATGGAGGTGCAGGGAGTTCTTGCCCAGAACAGAACCATACCGCCAATCCAAACTGTATGCTAATTGTCAATCATCTTTGACGATAGTGGTCCTGACAGAAAAAACATTCGTGGGACAGCAGGGCAGTGTGTACACAAATGGATCCGACTGGAAGTGCGGACAGCCGTGATAAACATCAGCTATAGCCTGAATTTACTGTACTAATGTCAGATGGAGGAAAAATACCCCGATGTGCTCTGAAGCGGCAGCCCTGATTCGCATGGATTTATTTTGTCTCCTCCTTTTGTCCATGACAACTCCCATTATTTTAGGATCACTAACCGAGACGTAGTCAAATCCCAGTGATTCAAAACAAATTGGCTTGGATCAGCCACATTATTTTAGAATGGCTCATCACTGCAGTACGATTCCTGCGGGATGAGTCGGATTACATCCGCCCTCCTTTCTGTTCCCCGTTTTGTACTTGTGTTGTAATTTGTTGTGGTAAAATGTCTCAAACTATGATCATCAAATTCAAATTAAGGAAATCAAATTGACTTTAAATCACATGAATCTTTTCTCCAGAAGGACTGACAAGATAGAGCTCAACAGTAACCATGTGCTTTTCCAACAGCCTGGGTTTCAGAAGCAGACTTAATTTCTCATTAATTTTATATATAATCATTTTGGAAATTCTTCAGTAAACAGTTCTAACCCTTGAACCAAATTAGCGATGAACCACAACATTTGATTCGAAGATTCAAAACAGTGTTTCAAAGGAAAACACAAAATGTACTTCTTTGTATCTATATGCTACCTTTAAGAAGTTTGGAGTTGATAGGATTTTTGTTTGAAGATTTTGGGTTGATACGTCTCTTAGGTTCACAAAGGCTGCATTTATTTGATCAAAAATACAGTAAAAACAGTAATATTGTGAAACATTACAATTTAAAATAACTGCTTTTAATATGCAATTTATTACTGTGATGCAAAGCTGAATGTTGAATTTTCAGCCTCATTATTCCAGTCTTCAGGGTCACATTTTTTGACAAACTTTGCTTTTCTAGTTAAAAATTGCAGTTGAATAATTTCTTTGATTTTCAGTTCATTTTGATTGTATATGCTTATATTAAAATTTGAATTGCAATGAAATAAGAACAAAGGAGATTTGGGGTGTTCAGAGGTCCTCACCTTATTTTAATTTTTTTTAATGGTCCACCAACTGAAAAACTTTGAGAACCACTGGACTATAGGGAATATGCAATGAGTTTCAGTACAGGCTACATTTCACCCATTCATGCAGCTTTAATTACTGAACATTATCGGTTCTAATACTGCCGCTGTAATGCATTAAAATGCATGAGATGTTACCGGCACAGCCAGAAATATGATTATTCTGCTCACGTTACCTTTCAGCTATTACCAATTATTTCTGCTGAATAAACACTGTGTCAAGGGAGGAGCCACAAGGTGCATTTTCCTACAAATTAGTCAGGAAAGGACCTGTCCCCTTCACACGAGCGACAGCGTAATCGGTATTCCTCACTTATTTTAATGTCTAAAGCACAGCTGCAGAGACAAAGAGGTGGTTTGGTATTCAGCATTAACCGCTCAGAGCTGCAGTTCTGTAAGTTTTGGATGTCAATGCGAAAATGCCAATGCAAGAAGTTCAGGCTGTGGCAGATTGTGCAGATTAGAAGACTTTCATGAAGATTTTCATCCCAGACAGGACCGTTTCTAGGCAAACTAGGCGGTTGCCTGTTAAGGAGATGCCAAACAGTCCATCTATATGGCATCAAAATGGCCTTGAACCTGGGAATTCAGGTCTGGTCTTGAATGTGTGTGTGTTGAAGCTCGGTAAGAAGGTGTAGATTGTTGACTGACTGTGGTAAACCTAGAGGAAACAGAGAAAAAGAGATCTTTTTGGAGATCTAAGAACAAACTTTGAATTTTTCAGAAGTACAATTCATCAAAGTGCATTACTCAAGCTGTTTGTGAGGGGAAAATGTTGTGTAATGTATTATTAGTGATGTGGAGTAGGCCTATTTATCCAGCAGCCCTCTATTGTTACTAATGCAGAATGTACTTTAGCACATAACCTTGTCTAGTGGTTACAAATGGCCTCTAAAACCCCTAACCCAAGTCACCCCACACCATTTGTACTACTTCAAAAAGT